TCAGTCGATTACTCCTCACTCCACTTTATCTCACTCTACTCTAACTCATTCCATTTCAGTACACTCCACTCCACTCTGGTCAATTTTAGTCCCATTTCATTAACTTTACTTCACTGCAATCTACTTCACCATGCTTCAGTCTGTCTTATTTCACTACACTACAGTTCATTTCTCTTCACTCCGCTTAACTCCATTCTACTCAATTTCACATGACCTTACTTCATTTCATTCCACTCTACTCCCTTTCCCTTTGCGCCATTTGAGTCTGCTCCAAGTCACACCACTTCATTTTAAACCAACCCATTTCATTCAACTCTACTTCACTCCACTTCACTCCACTTCAGTTCATTACAAGCCATTCCACTCCTCGTCCGGCGGCGACAGAATTGGGTAGGCCAAGAGGAATTCGTCCGGACATACTCAGACCACGGACACCGAAATCAGTGGCCTTTGCAACTCGCGACTGACAATGACTTCCACCAGCTTCCACTCAACGCCGCGACCGCCTGAACCCATTCGGTCAGTCTCAATCGTCAGTTTGTGAAAGACCTTCATTAAGACTTCTCATGCTCAACCAGACTCAACTAACTCTGTTTAAATCGGTCCGACATTTTGCCCCTATCCAGCATCTGCTTTCCACCATTTGCAATATTAAAGTGCAAAATATATTCACATTACATGCCTAATTATCTACGATTTCACTGCAATTGCATGAGCTGTTAACTTTCAATGATACTTTTCCAAATTATTTTCCATCTGCCCACTGATTGGTCAGAGTGACTGTGGCACGATTAAAATGCGTTGAGCAGACAGTTACCAAAGCTATTTGTGTTAACAAACGTTTTTATTCCATCATTCAGTATGCGTAGATTATGTGGCCTTTTCACCTATTTCAAGCTAACTTATCGCATTTAGTTCACCATTGTCTTTGCCAAGTTCAAGGCCGAGGTATTTAATTAAAAAAATTCAATAGCAAAATATACAAAAATCCAACTTTACAGTTGTAGTTTAACACCTGTCTATACTCTATCGAGAGCATATACGCTCATATTTCTAGGACAAAATTAGCTTTATCACTCATCTGATTCAGATACAGAAATAACTAAACGAAGAGGGGCACTTAATTGAGGGCTTAGAGTTTCGTCCACTCGGAACGGATGAGCTGACTTCCCTGACCGAGTGTGAATGGGCCCAGAAATGACGCATCG